TCATGCTGTGTCTGTCAGATGACGTTATCACGGAGGTCTCAGACGAGGAGACTGCTGCTGGCTTGTGGTTGAAGTTGGAGAGTCTGTACATGACGAAATCTTTAACCAACAAGCTACTTCTGAAACAACGTCTATTCGGTTTACGAATGGCTGAAGGTACACCACTCAGGGAACATTTAGAGCAATTAAATACTTTGTTATTAGAATTGCGTAATATCGATGTGAAGATCGAGGATGAAGATGCTGCCCTGATTCTGTTGGTATCTCTCCCAATATCGTTTGAAAATTTTGTTCAATCGTTCATTGTTGGGAAAGATACTGTATCTCTGGAAGAAGTTAGGTCGGCCCTTCATAGCAGGGAATTGCGGCATAAGGCTAACGGCACGAGTACAGATGTACAACCTTCCGGCCTATTCACCAGTGCCGGAAAGGGAAAGAAAAACGGTGGAAAGAAGAAGGAGAGGAAGCCGTCGTCAAAGGGTGCAAAGCCGGTTGATGTTTGTAATTACTGCAAGGAGAAGGGGCACTGGAAGTTTGATTGTCCGAAGAAGAAGAAGCAATCCGAAAAACAATCCGTTTCTGCTGCTGTTGCTGAAGAAGATACCAATTCTGAAGAAGACATTGCCTTAGTTGCTGATGAAAACACTCATCACTCAGATGTGTGGGTTCTAGACTCTGGGGCATCCTATCATATCTGTCCAAGGAGAGAGTGGTTCACGACCTATGAGCAGGTAGACGGAGGAAGCATCTCGATGGCCAACAGTTCTCTCTGCAAGGTGGTTGGGACAGGCTCGATCAAGATAAGGACACATGATGGTAGCTTCTGTACATTGAACGAGGTCAGACACGTGCCATTGATGACAAAGAATCTGATATCCCTCAGTCTTTTGGACAGCAAGGGGTTCAGTTGGTCAGGAAAGGATGCAGTTCTGTGCGTCTAGAAGGGTTCAAATCTGATTCTGAAAGGTGTCATGCGGGGTACTTTGTATTTTCTACAAGGTTCCACGGTTACAGGTTCAGTCCATGTTGCATCATCAGAAGTTAAACAGGAAGATATGACCAAGTTGTGGCATATGAGACTTGGTCATATGGGTGAAAAAGGGATGCAAATTCTGTCAAAGGAAGATCTTCTTGTTGGTCATAAGGTAAAGAGCCTGGAGTTTTGTGAACATTGTGTCTTTGGAAAACTACATCGCAACAAGTTTCCAAAGGCTATTCATAGAACAAAAGGCACACTTGATTACATTCATTCTGATTGCTGGGGTCCATGCCGAGTTGAGTCTTTGGGAGGATGCAAATTTTTTGTGTCAATTATTCATGATTACTCAAGGATGACTTGGGTGTACATGATGAAGCATAAAAGTGAAGCTCTCCAAAAGTTCAAGGAGTGGAAAACATTGATAGAAAACCAAACAGGGAAGAAGATCAAGAGGTTGCGAACTGATAATGGACTGGAATTCTGTTGGTATGAATTTGATCAATTCTGTAAGGATGAAGGGATTGCTCGACATCGTACAGTCAGGGATACACCACAACAGAACGGTGTAGCTGAACGGATGAATCAAACACTTCTGGAGAGAGCAAGGTGCATGCTCTCTAATGCTGGGCTAGACAGAAGGTTTTGGGTAGAAGCGGTTAGTACAGCTTGCTACTTGATTAACCGCGAACCACATACAGGCATTCAGTGCAAGACACCTGTGGAAATGTGGTCAGGAAAAGCTGCTGATTATTCAAATCTGAAGGCTTTTGGTTGTACAGCTTACTATCATGTCAGTGAAGGTAAGCTAGAACCACGAGCCAAAAAGGGAGTATTTGTGGGCTACGGAGATGGAGTGAAAGGTTTTAGAATCTGGTCTCCAGCAGAAAAGAGGGTTATTCTAAGCAGAAACGTTGTCTTTGATGAAAGTTCTCTGCTTAGAACCATCGTGAAGCCTACAATTACGTCAGAAACNAACATATATATATATATATATATATATATATATATATATATATATATATAGGGGCCGGTTCCCGTGAGAATGCACCTTGTGGAGAGAAATGAGAATAAAATCTAGCCGTCGGATCTGATGCATCGTGCGGCTCAGATTGCATCCTGCGCTCAGATTTTGAGATAGTGCATTTTCGAAGGTTTATGATGCATTTTCGCACCAATTTGGTGCATCTAATTTTGATGAAATCTTGACCCTTAGATCTCACAATCTAAAGCACCAGATTCATTCTCATTTCTCTCCTAAGATTGCATTCTCACCAGAACCAAAATCTATATATATATATATATATATTTGTGTGTGTGTGTGTGTAAAATAGAGTTACTTGGTTGTGGTGATGACATGTGTCATGCCACACGTGCATATTACTAACACGTGTCATGCCACGTGTAAATCAAAAGACACATGTCATTCCACATATGCATTTTTAATTTTATATTAAATCATTATATTTATAAACTCTTCACTTTCCAACCATAAAAACCCTTATTTTTATTCTTTTTTATAAAATTCTCACTTTCTAACTATTTAAGAAATGTTTTTTTGTTGTTTTAACATATGTTTTTAATATACGCGACTATTTTATAATACAAAAAAATTATAAATTTATTAATTTAAAAAACAATGTATCTTAAAATTTTTAAAATTATCCACCATCTCAAAAGAAACTATTATATGTAACCACACATGCATCTTTGTTAACTTCATGACATATTTCAAAAATTTTTCTTATTACATTATTTATTTTAGGAGAATTTACTTAAATAGTATTAAAATATAGTGACTTTCCAATGTAGTATCATATATTTTTATTTCTCAATGTGGTAATACTGGCCATTGCTTACTGGTCATTCTTCAAGTAAT